TTCTTTTAATAGGGTCTTACAGTTTTCATTATATAGGTCCTTCACATGTTTTGTTAGATTTATTCCTAGGCATTTTATTCTTTTTGTTGCAGTTACAAAAAGAATTATTTTTTCCACTTCTTTTTCTGACACTTCTTTATTAGAGTATAGGAATTATATGGATTTTTGAATATAGATTTTGTATCTAGAAACTTTACTGTATTTCCTTACTGTTTCTAGTAGCGTTCTTATGGAGTCTTTAGGATTTTCTATATAGAGAATCATATCATCCGCAAATAGTGACAGTTTGACGTCTTTGTTTCCTATCTAGATGCCTTTTATATCCTCTTGCCTGATTGCACTCACTGGGATCTCCAGTGTTATATTGAATAACAGTGGTGATAGTGGACAGCCTTGCCTTGTTCCTAATCTTAGAGAGAAGGTTTTTTAGTTTTTCACCATTATGTATAATGTTGATTGAGGGCTTGTCATATATGGCCTTTATTATTTTAATGTATTTCCCTTCTATACTGATTTTGTTAGGCATTTTGATCATACATGGGTACTATATCTTGTCAAAGCCTTTTTCTGCATCTATTGATATCATGATATGATTCTTATTTTTTAATTTGTTTACATGATATATTACATTAATTGATTTGCATATGTTGAACCATCCTGTACCCCTGGGATGAATCCACTTGATCATGGTGTATAATCCTTTTAATATGTGGCTGTATTCAGTTTGCTAGTATCTTATTTAGGATTTTTGCATTTGAGTTCATGAGAGTTATTGGTCTGTAGTTTTCTTCTTTTGCGTTATCTTTACCAGATGAGCTGGGAAGTATTGCCTCCTCTTCGATTTTTTGGAAGAGTTTGAAGAGAATAGGTATTAAATCTTCCTTGAATGTTTGGTAGAATTCACTGGTGAAACCATCTGGCCCTGGAATTTTACTTTTTGGTAGGTTTTTGATGATTGTATCAATTTCCATACTGCTGATCAGTCTATTTAGATTTTCCAGTTCTTGATTCAGTCTAGGAAGGTTATATTTTTCTAAGTACTGGTCCATTTCTTCTAGGTTATTAAGTTTGGCATTATATACTTTTTCATAGTATTCTCATATGATCCTTTGTATTTCTGCAGTGTCTGTTTTAATTTCCCCTCTTTCATCCCTGATTTTGTTTATTTGTGTACTTTCTCTTTTTTCTTTAGTGAGTCTAGCCAGGGGTTGTCAATTTTATTAACCTTCTCAAAGAAGCTGCTCTTTGTTGCATTTATTTTTTCTATTGTTTTTTGTTTTGTTTTGTTTTCAGTTTCCTTTATTTCTGCTCTAATTTTGATGATTTCTTTCCTTCTGCTGACTCTAGTCTTCATTTGTTCTTCCTTTTCTAGTTTTTTAAGATGAAGCGTTAGGTTGTTTATTTGGGATCATTTTTGTTTTTGGAGGTAGGCCTATAATGATATGAACTTTCCTCTTATGAATGCTTTTGCCATGTCCCAAAAGTTTTGATATGTTGTACTATCATTATCATTCAATTCTATGTATCTCTTGATCTCTCTTTTTTTTATTTCTTCTCTGACCCAGTTATTCTTCAGTAGTATGTTGTTTAATCTCCGTGTATTTGTGGTTCTTTCACTTTCTTTTTTGCAGTCGCTCTCTAGTTTCAAAGCATTATGATCAGAGATTATGGTTGGTGTGATTTCAACCCTCTTATATTTGTTCAGGCTATCTCTGTGTCCCAGTATGTAATCAATTCTT